CTGTTCTAGGCAGTGGGGGTTGTCACCGATCGTGATGGGTGGTGATAGGCAGTGGTGAATGGGCCATGGCGGCAATAACGTGCTGAAGCTGACCAGACTGTTCGCTGCTTGCTGCACTAGCCAGATGAATACCGGATGGATGCTGGGAGGCAGATTTTTTTTTTCTTGTTTTCCTCCTCTAAAGCTAATGTGTGCCTTATAGTCTGGAGCATTTTATAATCCAAAAAATATGGTAATTGTTTTCAGGAAAATTCCCCTTAGTTCAGGTTGGATTTCCCTCTGACAAGCTTCCATCTATTGTCCTATCCTCAGATTCTATAGAGAATAAATCAGCCTTCTCCCCCTCTCTCTTCTCTCCCTTCTCTTCCTCATGTTTCTCTTTTTTCCCTTTCTCTCATACTCTCCCTCCATCATTTTCTCATTTCTCTTTCTCTTTTTCTCCCTCATTTCTGTTTCCTTCCCTTCCCTTTTTCTTTTTCCTCTACCCGCTTTCTCCCTCCTTCCTTCCTTCCTTCCTTCCTTCCTTCCTTCCTTCCTTCCTTCCTCTCTCCCCCTTTTTCTCTCATTTGTTTCCCTCTTTTCCCTCTCTTATTTCTCTCTCCTTTCTCTCATTTGTTTCTCTCTTTTTCCTCTCTCCCATTCTATCCCTCATCATTTTCTCGTTTCTCTTTTTTCCCCTTTTTCTCTCATTTTTCTCTCTCCCCCCATCATTTCTGTTTTCTCTGTTTTTTCCTTTCTTTTGTTCTTTCTCTCTCTCTTCCCTTTTCTGTTTCCCTCTTTTCCCCTCTCTCATTCTCTTCCTCCAGCTCATTTCTCTCTCCCTCTTCCCCTTCTCTCTCTCATTTGTTTCTTTTTCCTCTCTAATTCTTTTCCTCCCTCATTTTCTCATTTCTCTCTTTTTCTTTTTCTCCCCTCTTCTCTCTCTCGCCCTCTTTCATTTCTGTTTTTCTCTTTTTCCTTTCCCTTCCTCCCTCTTTCTTTCTCTCCCCCATCTCTCTGTTTCCCTCTCTTTTCCCTCTCTCATTTCTCTCTCTCATTTGTTTCTCTCTCTTTTTCCTCTCTCATTCTCTCCCTCCCTCGTGGAGGCTTCTTCTGACACTTCTTAGTGCTGTGTGCACCTCGATTGCTTGGGGAGGCACACAACTTGCTCTCTGCCTTGAGACGCTGGCCCTGGCCGGCTGCAACCAATGATCCACATTGTAAACTGCGACCCCTCCTCCTCCTGAAGCCCATTACGATTCGGAGCATTGGCTGCAGCTGGCCTGGGCCAGCGTCTCAGGGCGGAGAGCAAGTTGTGCATCTCCCCAAACAACCGAGATGTGAGCAGCACTAAGAAGGTCTGGAAGAAGCACTCATGAGATTAGAGGCAAGTACAGGGGCGCTTCCCTCTCATTCAGAGCAAGTCTCCATCCCTATTGTTGCCCTTACCTTCTCAGGCTACGCGAGCAGTGACTGGGAGGGGAGGGCAACGGATGAGGCCAGCCAGCCAACAGGGAGCCACAGCAGGGGGACAAAAGAGCCGCATGTGGCTCTGGGGCCACAGGTTGCCAACACCTGATTTAGCCTCTAGACCAGGTATGTCAAACTTGATTTCATTGAGGGCCACATCAGGGTTGCGTTTGACCTTGGGGGGTGGGGATGTGGCCAAGGTAGGCAGGACTAGCTCAACATCACTCGGGTCGGGGGCATCTGTGGTGGGCTGAGCACTCTGCTGGCAAAAACAGAGCTCGGGAGGGCTGTGTGTGAGCTCCGTTTTTGCTGGCAGATGCACTATGGGCTGGTCCTTTGCTGTTTCCAGGATGCCCCGCGGGCCAGATCTAAGCATTCCATGGGCCACATTTGGCCCACAGGCCTTGAGTTTAACACCCTTCTCTAGATCGCTCATCATTTTTGTTGCTCTTCCCGACAATCTTTCTAGGGCTTCAGCTCTATTTTGAATTGTGGTGATCAGAACTGGATGCTGCATTCCAGATTGGTGTCCTTTGCGCAGTATAGAGTGATACTATCGCTTCCCATGATCTTGATGATAGTCTTTTGTTGATGCATTGGCTGTTTTGGCAGCTGCAGCACACTGCCAGTTTATATTTAAGTAGTAATCCACCAGGACCTCCAATGTCTTAACTTATCAGGGTCATATTGTGCTTCTGCTATTGAAATTAGAAATTAAATCTGAAGCAATGTATTTAAGAAAAGATATATGGGCATCATTTCTTAAATACATTGCTTCAGATTTAATCTCTAATTTCAACATTGATTTACAACCACAATTGAGACTATAATTTCTATTGCTTAGCGAAACAGATAAATGAGTTTTGTCTCATTTTACAACCTTTCTTGCCACAATTATTAAATGAATAGTATTAAATGAATAGTTGTTAAGTGAATCTGGCTTCCTTATTGGCTTCGCTTCTCAGAGGGTCGCAAAAGGTGATCACATAACCCAGGGACACTGTAACCGTCATAAGTGAATCACTTTCCCAGCTTCTGAATTTTGATCACAATCATAAGCAACAATCGTAAGTGCTGTTGTAACTTCCAACAGTCACTAAATGAATTGTTGTAAATCGAGGGCCACCTACAGTATGAAACAATACAGATAGTAGATTTTCATTTGCTAAATAGCAGCAAGCAATTTATAGATATCCATGAAACCTATTCAGTCTTTTATCTTATCGTTTGAGGAAAAGTGGGTATCTAGAATAATTAATATTAAAATAATCTTTTAATTTCATTATAATTAGATGTTTTAATTTGATAAAATCCTTAATTGACGAAGGCTTGCAGTGTAAGAGACACAAAATAATTAAAGATGCACATGGCCCTGTGTTTAAGTTGTAAGCAATAGACAAATACGTTTATAATGATACCCTCCCACTGAGAATAAGAAGAGAAAAAATAGTTTTAATTTGATTTCACAGACTCAACAATTGTGTGAAATAATTGCTCTGAATTTGTCACAATTTTAAAATTTTATCAATTTTACTTAAAATTGCTAAAATTGTGGTTTTGCTTCAGGATGGAATAACTGGCTGCACTGTCCATTTACAGTAGTCTTGACTTACAACAGTTTGCTTAGTGACCATTCAAAGTTACAGTGGTACTGAAACAAGTGGTCTTCCGGGTGCGCTTCAAGGTTTTGGTTACTATCTTTAGAGCGCTCCATGGCTCAGGACCAGGGTACTTACGAGACCGCCTCCTGCCACCAATAGCCTCTCACCGACCAGTTCGCTCCCATAGAGAGGGACTCCTCAGGGTGCCGTCGGCCAAACAATGTCGACTGACGGCCCCCAGGGGGAGAGCCTTTTCTGTGGGGGCACCTACCATCTGGAACGGGCTTCCCCCGGAGTTACGAAACATCCAAGACTTACGCATATTCCGCCGTGCCCTGAAAACATTTCTATTCCAACAAGCTGGTCTGGCCTAACTCTCCCTTTTTAATTGGCTTTTAAACTGGCTTTTAAATTGGGTTTTAAACCTCTTTAGATAAATTTGGATGTTTTTTAATCTTTGAGCCTAAATTACTTAATCTGTTTCTAAATAGTTTTTAACTTCTATATGTATTTGTATTTATTATGGCTGTTCACAGCCCTGAGTCCTTCGGGAGTAGGGCGGTATACAAATATGAAAAATAAATAAATAAATAAATAAATAAATAAATAAATAAATGAGTTATGACAGTTTTTCACACTTACAACCGCTGCAGCATTCCCTATGGTCACATGACCAAATTTCGGAAGCTTGGCAACTGACTCATATTTATGACGGTTCCAGGGTCCTGGAGTCATATGAACAGCTTTTGCGATCTTCTGTCAATGAGGAAGCCAAATTCACTTAACAACCGTGTTACTAACTTAATAATTACAATGACTCACTTAACACCTGTGGCAAGAAAGGTTGTAAGATGGGGCAAAACTCACTTAACAAATTTCTCATTTAGCAATACAAATTTTGGGCTCAATTGTGATCATAAGTCAAGGACTGCCTATGCTACAATTTGGGTAGAAAATTTCAAAAGCAGTTGGATAAATAAAATCTCTATGGTTATATTGAACTCCATAGCGACATCTGGTGGCATACATGAGTCTGTTTAAATAAATAATGAACTACCTATTACAAATCTACATAGATTTGTTTTGATATGTTTGTTTCAAAGATCCTGTTCTCCCACTTGGCTCCAAGGATTTTTCCCACTTGTTTTACATTGATTGGCTTCAAGTCACATAGCAAAGAGATGACAAGGTATTTGTTCTTTCTGTTGGCTTGATGCAGATCCTGATGCTGACAGGCCGAGAGGAAGTCATTGGCCAAGATCTACCAGCTGGCTTCTGTGTCTAAGAAAGGATTAGGATTTTCCTATTCCCAACACTAAACCATACCTGCTTGGAGTTTTATCCTCACTGATAATTAGAGAAATATCTAGCAATAGATAATGGGGACATATGGGTTAGCTTTATTCTCTTCCTTGCTCATTGTCACTTTTTGCTTAAAAGCAGTGCTTTTCATATGCATGTTATGTTTATTATTTTAGATTGCTACAGATAGTGAGCACTGGAAGTTTTTAAGAAGATTGGACAACCATTTGTCTGAAATGGCATAGGGTTTCCTGCTTGAGGAGGGTGTTGGACTAGAAGACCTCCCAAAATCCCTTACAATTCTGTTACTCTCTTATTCAGTTTCCCTACTGATAGGTAGAACTTAAACACAAAAAGACTAATTAGAATTATTTTCCCATACAGATTTTCAGAGCACCTCACAACACCCTACAAAGCAGATTTTTGTTCTGTTCTCAAGATACAATTAGAATTCTGGCACATGCTTTAGAATTTATAGTAGTGTTTCTCTAAAGATGGACTTTAAGATGGACCACCTCTCAGAATGCCCTCATCCATGATAGCCTCTATTCTCCCCCCCCCAGATTTAAGGAACGCTACTTTTTTCATTTATTCATTTATTCCCAACAAAGTGGTCTTTAAAACTGTACACAATTTGTTTTATTGTAGCCAGTGACACCACCAAGCCAAGGAAGACCAGATTCACCTGTTTATGCTAACTTACAAGAACTGAAAATTTCTCAGTCTGCACTACCACCTGTGCCTATAAGTCCTGCAGTTCAAATTAGTGGGGAGTGGGAGACCCATAAGGATATCACAGGACGCTACTACTATTACAACAAAGGGACACAGGAGAGAACCTGGAAACCACCACGTTGGACTCGGGATCCAAGCATAACAAAAGGAGACTGTTCGAACCAAGTAGATCAAGAGGTAAGTTGTGGATAATAATGAACAAAACATTCATATATGTTTGCTGTTTAACTGTTTAATATGCCTTTTTTTTTTTTACTTGTCTGAGGTTAGTACAGTCAAATAAAATGACTTGCAGATAGATCTTGCATGTGTATCCTGTTACAGAGAGGCTATCGTATTTTTGAAGTACACCTCTTTATTATGTTTGTGTTTTAAAATATTAAAAATTAAAAATTAATATATCATAAAAAATATGCCGAGGAAAATATTTGTAACTCAAGGCTGAAATGAGGGATCCTTGATGTTCTCTGAGATTGATTGGTTGCTTCCTTGCAGATGTTTCATTATTCAAACTAGGTAATACCATCAGTGCTTGTGACGATGATGTTATCTACTTTGGGTAATGAAATGTCTGCAGGAAGACAAGCAAGCTCAGAGAGCACTAAGGTTCCCTCAAATATATTTTAAATTGTTATAATAATGAAATACAAAGAGAAAAAAAGTCTACATTACATAATAAAGTTGAATAAGACAGCAAGCGCTAATTGTCAAGTATAAATAAAAACCTTATGGGAAAATTTTTTACTAACAGTTTCTCCCCTTCCCTTCTGTTTATTCTCCCAACTGTTGACCACCACAATTTATACTTTATATTGAACACTAAAATTATTACTAGCACCTGTTTGAACCTTTTAGTTTTTGCTATCATCTTTCTTAGATGCAGTATGAACTTTTAAGACAAAAGCAAGATTGTATGGTCTTACTCTGCTGTAATTTCTTCTGCAGAGTGTCAGGTGAAATGCTCAGAGCTTTCCCTAGAAAACTTCCTAGGCCTTATTATACTCCTACTTTAAAAGTCAAAAACAGAGTATCCAGAAAAACAAACAAAAAATAATTCAGGTTCCATACAAGGCTTTTGAATTGTTAGGTTGTGTTGTGTTCTGCATACTTTTTCAATGAGCTGTTAAGCATACTTAGAAAGAACATGAAAATAAAATGACTCTATATCTACGGGCATCTACAGTAAGCTAAAGTTTTTGTCAAAACAACAAAACATGTGTGATGTCTCTAATTCCAACACACACACACACACACCACACGCACAAATGACTTTATGACAAGTGTGATAGGGGCAGATATGTATTGTGGCATTGTGACTTACATTTTGATGTTTTTCCCTTGCAGTTTTCCTCTGCCTTCATTCTTTTGCAGCCTTCTATCTAGGGCAGTGGTTCCCAACGTGTGGCCCACGCCCTACTGGGGGGCAATTTGATTTCTAATGGGGGCAATTTGAACCCCATTTAACCACTTTTAGGCTTCCTCCGTGTGAGTAGGAGTCACTTTTTGAATAGTAAGAATTATATGTCACCGGGGGTGGGTGGGTGGGTCAGGATTTTAGAGATGCTTAGGTGGGGCATAGCCAAAAAAAGGTTGGGAACCACTGATCTAGGGGGTCATGATCCACACTTGGAGAAGTGCTATCTTTGTCTGCTTGTCACTGTACTTTCCATACCAATGTGGAATAATAACGTGAAACCTTATTAGTAACTTGGTATCAGGCAGGAGGTTGTCAAGCTTTATGCTTGTGTAAGAAGGAGTACCCCTGGCAATTTTTGCTTGCTACGCATGTGCTTTCACTGAGTTTTAAGCCTTTTAAATCAATAATGAATGCATCCTGTGCTCCTAAAAATGCTAAGCAGCAAAGTAGATTAATAAAGTTTTAATAAGATATATTCAACATGAATTGGAATAGGAGAATAATTATCATAAAACAACAGAAATGATGGGTTATGATGTTAATTTTAGAATAATGAATAATTCTAATCTGAGAAACTCAGTGGTATGATCCTTAAGAATGTTGTTGTGAAACCTACAATGTGCTCTCAGTGTTAGCGCTCTTATTTCAGCATTAAATCACCAGATTCAACCTTAAGAATTGTCTTTTTATAGGGACATAACTCTAGAACTAAGGTTACTGGTATTGATAATACTAATACTCCTTGTGTATTTTGGGCCCTTAGTTAATTCTTGTGGCCTCTGGGCCTTTGTTTGAAGAATGATGACAAATGAGATTCATTTATTTAAATAATAGGTTAACATGAAAAGATCTAATTTTTATGACCTAATAAGTACACAAACAATTATAAGTCTCAGTATCTTGGATCATCTTGGCTCATTTTAAGATTTTTGGATCGGCCTGGCATTTTAAATTGGGTTTAAATCACGGATACATATCTTGTCCTTCTTTATAAACTAAATTTTCCTTTTGTATGAAAGCACAGTGTTTTTAAACAAAACAACTGCTGCTGTTGAATATTAGTCTATTTGTGAGCAAATTGGATAAGCTAGATAATAATTAGGCATATTCAACTTCCTTTTATTATTTTTAAATACATTTATTATTTATTTACTTTATATCTGAATACCATTACCTTTTTTTACTTTTGAATTATTTTGCATTTTGAATTTTTATGACGCTAGCATAACTTAATAATATATATTAGGAGAAAGAAAGCAAGAATAGTGCTTTAAAAAAATTGTTAGAAACATGGTAAAATGTAGAAATCAGACTTCTAGATTCGGAATCCCACTTATAAGGAGAAACAAAAAAATTAAAATAGTCTGTGGATAATGTTTACAGAAGGAAATTGATAGAAAGACCAGGGGAGCAGAAATACAGTTGCAAGAAAAAGTATGTGAACCCCTTGGGATTACGTGGAGTTTTGCATGAATTGGTCATAAAATGTGCTCTGAACTTCACCTAAATCACAACAATAGAAAAACACAGTCTGCTTAAAATAATACTACACAAACATTAGATGTTGCCATGGTTTAATTGAACATAACATGTAAACATTCACAGTGCAGGGAGGAAAAAGTATGTGAACCTTTGGCCTTTGGTTGACCCTCCTTTGGTAGCAATAACCTCAACCAAACGTTTCCTGTAGTTGCAGATCAGACCTGCACAACGATCTGGAGTAATTTTGGACCACTCCTCTTCACAAAACTGTTTCAGTGTAGCAATATTCTTGGGATGTCTAGTGTGAATCACTCTCTTAAGGTCATGCCACAGCATTTCAATCGGGTTGAGGTCAGGATTCTGACTGGGCCACTCCAGAAGGCGTATTCTGTGCTGTTGAAGCCATTTTTTTGTTGAATTACTTGTATGCTTTGGGTCATTGTCCTGTTGCATCACCCATCCTCTGCAGAGCTTCAGTTGGCAGACAGATGGTCGTATGTTTTCCTGCAAAATGTCTTGATAAACTCTGGAATTCATTTTCCCATCAGTGACAACAATCTGTCCAGGCCCTGAGGCAGCAAAGCAGTCCCAAACCATGATGCTCCCTCCGCCATGTTTTACAGTGGGGATAAGATTTTGATGTTGGTGTGCTGTGCCTTTTTTTCTCCACACATAGTGTTGTGTGTTCTTTCCAAACAACTCAATTTTGGTTTCATCTGTCCACAATATATTTTGCCAGTAGTGCTGTGGAACATCCAGGTGCTCTTTTGCAAACTTCAAACGTGCTGCAATATTTTTTTTTGCAATGGCTTCCTCCGTGGTGTCCTCCCATGTACTCCATTCTTGTTTAATGTTTTCCTTATTGTAGATGTGTCAACAAAAATGTTAGCATGTGCCAGAGATTTCTGTAGGTCTTTAGCTGACACTCTAGGATTCTTCTTTACCTCATGAAGTATTCTGCGCTGTGCTCTTGCAGTCATTTTTACAGGACGACCACGCCTAGGGAGAGTAGCAACAGTGCTAAACTTTCTCCATTTGTAGACAGTCTGTCTTACCACGGACACATGAACATCAAGGCTTTGGAGATACTTTTGTAACCCTTTCCAGCTTCATGCAAGTCACCAATTCTTGATCATAGGTCTTCTGAGAGCTCTTTTCTGCGAGGCATGGTTCACATCAGACAGTGCTTCTTGAAACCAGTAAACCCAAAACAGGTGTGTGTTTTTAAAGGGCAGGACAGCTGTCAGCAACACATCCAATATCATCGCACTGATTGGAATCAAGGTTGGCTTACTCCTGGCCCCAATTAGCTCTTGGAGAAGTCATTAGGCTAGGGGCTCACATACTTTTTCCTCCCTGCACTGTGAATGTTTACATGTTATGTTCAGTTAAATCATGGCAACATCTAATGTTTGTGTAGTATTATTTTAAGCAGACTGTGTTTTTCTATTGTTGTGACTTAGATGAAGTTCAGAGCACATTTTATGACCAATTCATGCAAAACTCCACGTAATCCCAAGGGGTTCACATACTTTTTCTTGCAACTGTAGAATTAAGAATTATATAAATCCTAGGTGGTTTGAAGTGTTGCTTTAGCTCACATTTTTGTTAATGGCACAGTCTTTGTAAATGTTGCTTCTAAACTAAGCTAACTTTGACACACAGACACACACACACAGAACAGAACTTTAATCTTTTACAAAAGTAAACTATCCATAAGTAATCAGATTAAACTGTGTTGCTGTTTAAGTTTCAGCTGTTTCATGTTAGAATGCATTCTTTGTTCAAAGATTTACTGTTACAGTTTTCAGTCTTTTATAGAGTTTAAACTAATGTCAGTTCTCAATATTTCCGTGTTTGACTATTTGTTGTAGACAATTTCAACACAAGAAAACTCTCACAGTCCTTGTAACAGCCAGTCAGACAGTCAATATGATTCTCCTCCCAAAGGTTGGTCAGAGGAGATGGATGAACATGGCCAAACACAATATACCAGTGACCTCACCAATGAAAAGGTATACAGTTCTTCATCACATATCTGCCAAGGTGATAGAAATTTAGTCAATATTATTTCCAATAGGTATGACTTCTCATAATTATCAGTAAAGTTTTGATTAGTGCCAGTGTCCTCCTATTTCTCTATTTCTTACGAGTTTTTGTCTGTTGCTATGTTTAACTGCTTTTAAAAACTATTCTATGTTTAGCTTCTGCTTGTGATGAAAATAAAAGTTTTATAATTGCTAATTGTACAGTTGTCACAGTTGCTAAGTGAAACACATATTCATTAAATGAATCCAGATTTCCCACATTGACTGTGCTTGTCAGAAGCCAGCTGGGAAGTTTGCAAATGGTGATCACATGACCCTGGGGATGCTGCAATTATCATAAATACATGCTGATTGCCGAGCACCCAAATTTTGGTCATTTGAGGGATAGTTGTAAGTCACTTTTTTCAGTCCCCTTGTGGTCACTAAACAGATATTTGTAAATTAAGGACCATCTGTATATCCTTCTAATGTCAGAAAAAAGACCTAAGGATATATTCTTAGCTTTGCATTTCCTGCAAAGTTGCCATTAACTCTAGTGTTATTTTCATTTCTGAAACTATGAACATTTACATTTCATCTGACTATTATACTACAAGAGCATTTTTATTTAAGAGCAACTCTAAAATGGGTTTCAAATAGGTACTTTGTGAGATTGAACAGATGAGTATCAGTATATTTACATGTATAAAATACTATATTTAAATTTAAAAAGCACAGTTTCTAAAAATGTTCTAGGATTAATAAGAGATCAGGTTTGAAAATAGATATTTGCCTGATTGCCTCTGTGCAAAACACTTAAGCAGTCATTGTCATCAACAACATTTTAGTCATTGTCTATCCACTGCAGGATGAAGGACTCTTCCGCGTATTTCCAACCAATATGGTCCTGAGCTTTCTTTTGCCAATTGGCCCCTCAACACTTGCTGATGTCATTAAGCAGGACAGTAAATTACCTATCTCAGTATTTTTCAACCTTGACAAGTTTAAAACACATGGACTTCAACTCCCAGAATTTCCCAGCCGCCTATGCTGGCTGGGGATTTCTGGGAGTTGAAGTCCACATGTTTTAAAGTTTCCAAGGATGAGAAAAATACTGACCTATATGGGTATTTAGATGTCCTTGAAACACTATTGAATGAAGTTCTGTGAAATGGTAAAAGGAGTGATTATATAACCCAGCTCAGAACAAAGATACTTAAAAGTCTGCGTATAAGGTGGGATCTTTGTAAAAGATGGGAATATGGCATAGGAATAGGGATCCTGTGTGCTCCCTTTAGAATAGGGTTCTTTATTGAATCCATCTATCTGGCCTGACTTAATCCTTTTTCTCTCCTTTTCCCCCTAGCATGGGTACAGAAAATAGGAGCAAATACAGAAACAAACTGTGCATGAACCCTCTTGCTCAAACAAGGCAGATAGTGTTCCTTCTTTTTCTTTTCTTCCAGTAAAATTGCAGAACAGAAAATATAGTGGGAATGAACAGTGCTATGTTTAGTTTTTCACTCTATTCATCCAAGCAGCCACATGCCATCAGGGAGCTTATAAGAGTAATTTTATTGTCTCCTTGAACTTTTCTTTAAAAAATTGATCTAGTTGTTGTTTCCAGTTTGTTTGAATAAAAATGAAGGAGGTTTATCAGTTTAGCCAAAAGGGAATCTTTGTTTTTCCCATTTTATAGCAAGATTAGATTGCCATCTACAATTGTATGTAGCAAAAGAATTGAGAATGTTTTAAGGACTGTAATGTTCTCCATCATGATAACAAAGGGTAAAGCCCTGTCTATATTATAATACATTTCTTATATTTCTTATAATTCTGTGGTATTTCTTTGTGAATGCAGTCCTTGGAAAGAAAATACTGAAAAACAATCAGCTATATTACTATTTTGTTAAAAGTAATATGTTCTACTTTGCATGTTGCTACAAACTACCGTATTTTTCAGAGTATAAGATGCACATCACATTTTCCGATGGTTCCAGGCAGCGAGGATCCTCACTTCCACTTGGATTTTGATAACAAGCAGCCCAGATCTTTTTATCTGTTTAAAACAAACATTATCACCCTATGCGCATTTAACTGGAGTGGGTGGGGGATGATTTTTATGGGGGCAGAAGAGGGACTTGGCATCGAAGGCTCCACTCCATTCCACTCCTGTCTTCCTACCTATAGATGTAGGCGTTGAAAGCCTGGCTTTCTCGCAGCAAGGCCCAATAGAGACGCTGCACTTCAGTCCTCCTGGATGCTGCCATCTTGTAAACACTGTGCCGGGCTTCCCGGCAAGCCCCTGCACCTTTACTGCCTTGGTCGGAGCCTGATTCTGGAAGCGGCCTGGGGAAGCATGGAGATCGAGACTCGGTTGGCGAAGTGGGCGCTGCGTGTGGGGGGGTATAAGGCAAGGCGCTGCCACCCGAAAACACTTACCACGATCTCTGCCACCTGGAGCTGCCTGAAAACACGTGCCCCATTTTTGGAATCGGACAGGAAAGTGTTTTTGGGTGGCAGTGCAGGGGGTGTAAGGCAAGGTGCTGCTGCCTGCAAACACTTTCCTCCCTGATTCCAAAAATGGGGCGTATGGAGGCAAAGAAAGAGTATCACGTTTTCGGGCGGTTCCAGGCAGCAGAGATGGAGAGTGGAGCCTTCAGTGCCAAGTCCTTCTTCTGTCCCCATGAAAATCATCTCCCATCTCATCCCACCTCACCCACTCCAGTTAAAAGCGCGTAGAGTGATAGGGTTTATTTTAAACGGATAAAAAGATCTGTGCTATTCGTTATCAAAATCTGAGTGGAAGTGAGGACGCAGCTGATCCTGATGCTGGTAGGCAGAGGCAGAATTCTTCTTTTCTTGTTTTCCTCCCAAAAAATTAAGGTGTGTTTTATAATCTGGTGCATCTTATAGTCCAAAAAATACGGTATATTCATTGTAAAATTGTATGTACTATACTATTTAATTTGATTGTGTTGGCATTGTCTGACTGTTAAAAGTAAGATATTTAGTGAATATTTCTTAAATTAGGAATTCCTGTAGTTTTCCCTTCCAATCGTTTCTAGCCTTGTCTGAAGTCAGTGAAAACTGTCTTTATGCCTGACACAGAAGATATCCAGATATAAAATAATTATATTTTCAATGCTTTCTTAAAAACTCCTTACCTCAAGGTGTTTTGATCAAACATGTTTTAGGTAAAACAAAGCAAAACTACGTTTTATCATCTGCAAATTATAAATTGTTAACAAAGTTAAAATAGGTTGTAGAATTTTAACTCATGATGTTAATTATATTATGAATAGATTGTGGAAGAAATACCAAGCCATCATAAACATGTGGTTTGTTCATCTGGCTACGTGGGAAGAAAACTTTGGATTGATAGAATTCTCAAGAGTCACAATGGAATTAGGTGGTCTCTAAATTTAATAAAATAACGAATACATCTACAATATCTGTTACAAAAATGATAGCTTTTTTTCAGCTGCCTGAAAGGGCAGTATTTAAAAATGAACGATGTTCATTGTTCTGCTTTTTAAAGTAATCACTATTTCATTAACTTTTTTTTCTGAAGTGGGTAAAACATGTAGATGAACAAGGTCGGGCATACTATTACAATGCAGATGGAACACGTTCAGAATGGACTTTGCCAAATGTAAGTAAACAAATATAATCACAACTCTATTTTTAGTTCTGTATCACGATAAGGTATTTTTAAATAAAAAAAATGGGGGAACTCATTTTGATTTAATTGATTAAATAAATAATCAATAGCTTACCAACCTCTCATTCAATGACTGTTTGAAGTTACAACAAATACTGAAAAAGATTTATGGCTAGCCCTCAAAGTTATGGCCATTGCAGCCTCCCCACAATTATAGTTATGGCCATTGGAGCCTCCCCGCAGGCATGTGATCATGATTCTTGGCAATTAACATACCTACACAATGGTTGGTCATCAGTCATGTGATTACCATTTGGTACCTTCACAACTGGCTTCCAATAAGCAAAGTCAATGGGGAAGTTGGCAAGAAGTCACAAGTCGCAGTCACATGTTGTTGTTGTTTTGCTTAATTACCATGAGTAATTAGTTTAACCACAGCCAGAACTGACATTGTAAGTTAGTATGATCATATGATATTTTACTTTATGACTACATTGTTTAATGATAGAGTTGCCAGTCCCAATTGCAGTTGAGAGAACTACTTGTACTGTATTATGCTCTGATTCCACATTTTCCTGTTATTATAAATGTAAGGAGAGTATGCAATTATAAAATACAAAACAACATAAGTTGTTGTTCTTCATTTTGATTGAAAGTTGCCTTTTGGGACTAGCCATTCAGTGTGCATAGATGTCTTTATTTAATTTGCCTCTTGTTTCCCTCTATTAACAGTTTCTTGGGATATGAATAACAAAATAAGTAAAATATTGCATAGGTTGAATTAATCTAGATTCTTACTGGCTAGATGTAATTGTAAATGCCATTCTTGTATAATTAGGTGTAGATGCCAAAGGCCTGATGTGTATGACGAGTGACAAAAATACTAATTTTAGGTGTCCTGCAGGACTGTTGGATTAATTTATAGGGCTTCTTAAAGATTAAAATACTATTGAATGTAACAAAGATCCAAGATACTAGATTTTTTTTCAATTCTTCAGAAGACAGGTATATAGATATTCTGCTTGAAATTAGTGAAAATACTACTTAAAATTCTTCCTAGTAGATTGTACATATATTATTTGTTATCAGATGTAATTACATTTACATATGGGTTTTATTTTCATTAGTATAATGCTTCACTACAACAGCAAAAAGACATAGTTAAAAGCAGAAGTTTGGACAGGAGACTTCAGGAACCAGTAGTTTTAACAAAATGGAGGCACAGCTGTGTTGTGTTGGACACAAATGACAAGGTAGGTATATTTTAAATAATTGTTTGGCTTTCTACTTACTACATAATCACTGATTTCCATAAAGACTAATACCATATTAATATCTGCATGCAATATAATCTCTTTATTTCAATTTTTTTTCTAATTTTGGGAAATGCATTACATTCAGATATAGAACCTAGTATTAACTAAAAAATATGAAAAGCTGTATTTACTTTCTCCAAATATTTTTTAAAAGGTTGTTGTTGAGAATATATATGAATTAAGATCTTAGTCTACAGAGTTTAGAAATATGGTGTTCTCAAATGGATCCCTAATGGTTGCTTTTTTGCTTTAGCTCTCTGAAGTCAGTAGGTATTTGAGGAATCGTGTTTAAAATGTTAAAATGCATCCTAACCAGCAAAAGATAACAGAGTACAATAGACAAGATAAAGAATACCAAGCAATTAAAGAATACCAAGAATTAAACAATAGTAAGCAATATCAATGGAAGCAAGAACATCACACATTGATTGTTGCTAGTTTTAAGTGTGGACTAGATTTAGGCCCGTGATGGCGAACCTATGGCACGTGTGCCACAGGTGGCACGCGGAGCCATATTAGTGGGCACGCCAGCTCAGCTCTGGGGCGCATGCGCGCACCGGCCAGCTGATTTTCGGGCCTTCTGGGCCCACCAGAAGTAGGGAAACAGGCTGTTTCCTGCCTCTGGAGGGCCTGGGGAATGGGGGTGGGGAAGGCCTGTTTTTTTTTCTTACCTGGCTCCAGATCCTCTCTGTGTATCTGGGAACGGCGAAAACAGCCTTTCCCACTTCCTTGGAGGCCCTATGGAGGCTCAAAGGGCCTATTTACCCACTCCCGGTGGGACAGGAAGTGACTTTTTTCCTGTCCCCAGCTCCAGAGACTCCTAGAGAGGCTCCTACAGACTCCTAGAGAGGCTCCTAGAGACTCCTAGAGAGGTTCTGGAGGTTGGGGACAGCAAAAAATGTCACTTCCTGTCCCACCGGGAGTTGGGAAATGGGCTTTTTCAGCCTCCATAGGCCTCCAAGAGAATGGGAAAGACTGTTTTCGCCGTTCCCAGATACACAGAGAGGATCTGGAACCAGGTAAGAAAGAAAAACGGGCCTACCAGGCCATCATGTGCCAGGAGCGGGGAGGGGGAGGGGGTTGCGCACACATGCGCTTGGGCACGTGCGCGCGCGACCCTCCCCCGCCCCCCCTTCTCCTGGCATGCGATGGCAAAAAGGTTAGCCATCACTGATTTAGGCCCTTAAGGAACTATGAAATTCACTGGGTGACTTCAGATTTATTACTTGTTGTCCAACCCAACTTACTTCATAGAGTAAAGATGAAAATTAAAGAGAAGTTTTATGTACCTCTTCCTGAGTTTCTTAGGTGAAAGACCAATTACAAATGTATATATGCAATGGTATTTATTTGTAAATAATTATGTTCTATTTTTAATTGATCACTAATAACTTACGACGATTGGAATGCTAGGGCTGTGCAGCACCTCATTTCCAATATAAAAGTAGGTGCAATCTTTAAAAAGTGCTTTGGAGTGCAAGTGTGACATAGGACCTACCTACAACCCTATCAAGCAGTTGTGCTTTTCCCAGGACCACAGTCCCAACCCAGGAAAAGGGATGGCTGACTAAAGGTGTTGCGTACAAATGCTCCTTTGTGTTTTGAAGCACCTCTTTGAGATTGTATCTGAAGCATTACACAGCCCTAAAACATGTAAATCATACTTAATTATAAAAATTCAACTCTATTTTGTATAGGAAGCAAGTCGTTTAGGCTGAAACACAAATTATAAACATTCCTGGTAAAATAGTTTCTAAAACTAGTTCTTGAATTTTATATTTCTCAATTTATACTTCTGAACTCCTGCTTGTTCCCAAAACATTAGGAGCAAGTTAGTATTTGAAATATGATTTATTTGTGGATTATTTTAGTAGATAATTAAAACTGAGCTACTCCAAAAATAAATTATAGAAATAAGCTAATCAGTAGAACAAAAATCTTAAATTCATATTTAACCCACTGTTTTAGTATTCCATCCATTTAAAAGTCCATAAATTGACCTTGTTTTATTTCCCTTATATACATAATTAAATGCATTTTTCTTTTTCTAGGATTTCCCTTTTCCTGCAAAGATTCCATTTCCTGAGAATGGATCCTCTCCTTCCTCACCAAGGCATCAAACCACAGTCAGTACAAATACAAATATTTGAGACTGTTAACCTCTCTCTCTCTGTATATATATAATTTTACATATGTCTGCATATTGGGATACATTTGTTAATATATGTTATAAATTATTAAATTTCTCAGAATTTTAACAGCATATACCTCCTAATCCAGGTTAAGAGTTTGAGATATTCAAATCTGTGCCTGTGTATTAAATCAATAGTTGGAAATTAATCTGTGCCAATTATATGACAACCCAGATTAACCATTGCTTTAAGGGCACAACTAAAGGTTAGCAAATTGGGGATCATGTAAATCCATAGCGTCTTTTAATATATATCTGGCACATCTGCTGGACCTTGAACTTCTTTTATTTTCAATTGGAACATTGAAAACAAACACAAAGTTGATCGTCTTTTGAAATTAATGGAGGGAAAAAAACCATTATTATGTAGTTTAAAGATGATATATTTGAGAGGGTCTATTTCTAGCAGTAATCATAAAATTCTGAAAAGGGGGGTGGATTTCCCTCTGGCAATATTTTTTTAGATTATACAACTAGGCATAAACTAGGATTACTCTGTCCAGAGGCAAGCCTTTACTGAATTTATTTATTTACTGAATTTATTTCCACACTGAACATTATGGAATGTGCTTTTAAATAGGTTTATATTGGGATTGTAAATTTAGATAAAATTCAGAGAGTTCTGTTTGCAATTCAAATCTCCATTGTTTTTCCCTTCTGGAGAGTACATGTAAAATGAAATAACTCATTTCTTCTTTAAGGTAACAGAAATCTTTATTAAATTTCTTTTTCTCTTCTCTTCTCTAGGACCAAGAGAAGTATGGATTATTAAATGTAACTAAAATTACAGAAAATGGGAAAAAAGTCCGGCAAGTACTACCATAGTGTTTATGATTTTTGAAGTCTTAGGAGTTTTTTTGGTATCAAAAATTATTGAGTAAAAATAAATATAAATTTACTAATCTACTTCAGGCTATATGTTAAATATTTTGTAGGAATTCAAGGACTATGAAGTGATAGTTTTGATTTGTTCGAGTGTCACAGTAATGTATGAAATGGTCAGTGTGACAGAATTATTAACACATCTTTATCAAAGCAAATCCTATTGATTCCAGTGGAAATTAAGGAGTTGATTAAAATTTACAATCTAAAGTATAAAAAGCATGATGAGCTGAAGACTTTAAATTGCAGTCTCAAGCCTTAAATGTAATACTAGCTTAATTTTCATTAAATTCCATTTCATACTATCTTATCACAATTTTTTTTTCATTGTGAAATTCATAGATACTGAACCATTTCATTTACATCTTTTTGGACTATAGACTAAGTTACATGTGTGAATGTAGTACTATAAATTTGCCCAATATGTTTTGTAAGAGCTTGTATGATGAGTTTGTCTAATAAATGTATAAATATTTTTCTGTAACCTTCATATTTCTATTATTTGTACAAGTGTTTACTTTGTCAGTAAGAGATATGCCTGTAATCACAACAATACTGTTTGCTGAGTCACCATTGGCTAATTTTGGCACTGCTTTCTTAACTATGTACAAATATTTACCTTTTTTATAGAAAGAATTGGATGTCTTCTTGGGCAGTATTGCAAGGTTCTTCATTACTGTTTACCAAGACTCAAGGAAGTGGAACTGGTTGGGTAAGTTCTAAAAAGATTGTCAGATTTTCTGAGAATGCATTTTGCAAATCACTTTTCCTCCTTTGTTATCATGTTTTTCTAAAAATAAGTTCCAATCAGAAAATAAGACCTAGCATGATTTTTCAGGATGCTTGTAATATAAGCCCTACCTCAAAAATAAGCCCCAGTTAAGATCCGTTAGCCAGTTGGACACATTTTAGTACTGTATTTTCCCAAAAATAAGACCTAACCCTGGAAAATAAGCCCTAAAATATCTTTTGGAGCAAAAATTAATATAAGACCCGGTCTTATTTTCGGGGAAACACAGTAGTACAGTTATACGTAGCTACATTATACGACTCACTGAGTTGGGATAAACTGCAATAATGCAGAAGTGACTCTCATGAGTTAAAAATATTTGCAGTCATGGAAATGGCTGTTTCTTTATCAGTTTAGAAGTTAATTGAATGTAAATTCTCTCATTAATGGAGAAGCCATTTTTCAGTTCAAATTGCCAAGGCGTACTTTAAATCAATGGAACTCAAATGTGACCTAATGATTGTCTTAAATCATGATAAGTATCCAACTTCCAATTTTGATTAAGATAAAATAAAAAAAGTTCCTTGTCTAGCATTTTGTCTCACGTTTTGGACTGAATAATTGGCAGCCTTACAGAGTTTTTCTATCTGAGTACAAGAATTTTAACAATATCATATTATAAGCTGATAATGTTTCCTGTATGCTTGTTCTGACTTAATGTTGGTACTAAAAGATTTCCTTTTGAAAGCATCACCAAGCTTCTTTTGAAAATATGTGTGAAGGAGTTTTCCACTTAACCTGTTTCTCAGCCAGCTTCCTTGCTGATTTTCAATTATATATCCAAAATGACTATAGTATATAAATATGATATAATTTAAAACATTAGTCATTGATTGTAGTGTCACTGACGCTTCCAGTATATTTAATAAGAATTAGTATAGGTAAACTCATTTTCCTTCTATGTATCATTGGACAATTTTGTATATTTCAAAAAAATTTCTTTTAAGGCAATGGCCGTTGTCTCCTAAATTTAACAGTAATCATATCTCTAGTAATCTATCCAATTACTGAGATCCTTTCCAGAAATCTCGATTCCTGCATTTTGATATCCAAAGGTCTAGAGATATTTCCGTGGCAATAAGATTACTCATTTTTGTGAAACTCGCAAAAAACAACAACCCTATTCTTCTAGCCAATACAAGCATGTTATAGGTCTTAAAATAAAGAAAAGGAGGAATTGGGAAGAGGAGAACAATGCACTCACATTAAAATTGGAAATCTGACAAACAAGTTATTTTAAGTACAGGTACTCCTTGATTTATGACTGTTCGAAGTTACAAAGGATCTACTCAGAACTACTTCGGTACAATGGATTTCCTCAACATTGACTGCACTTGCTTAAATGACTGTGGCACTGGTTTAATAATGGCAATATTTACTTAAAAAATACTGCAAAAAAGGTGGTAAAATCTGGCACAGTCACATGCTTAATAACCAGCATGACTTGTGGCCATAATTCTGGGCATAATCACAGTTATAAGTCAAAGTCTACCTGAAATGCCAATATCCTATTTATTTCATGTCTTTTAAATATATTGTGCAAGAGTCTTTTCTAATATCACTTACATCTATGTCTTCAATGCATTTTTGTTAATATTTCAGAAGTTTGGGGTCAATCAATCTAAACCAGAGTTCACAGTGGATCTCAAAGGTGCATCTATTGACTGGGCTTCAAAGGAGAAATCAAGCAAGAAAAATGTGATTGAGGTAAACTTTGACCAGGACATCTCCAGGTGTAGGGCAGGATGTCCTTGACTCTCAGTGAAAGAATGTTATTATGGCTAGATATCTCTCCAACTCCATCCAATCCCCCCTCCCAGCTTCCCACAGCAGTAAATGTAACAGCCCTGAAGATCCAAAGTAAAAGTTGGCTTCCAGCACTGACACTTTGTAGGAAAGAAAAATCCTGAATCAGCCGTTATTACTGTAAATTATAGAAGAACATATAGAGGCAGAAAAGCAAGCTGGGATCATTTCAGAATATATTAAATATGTTGTTTTTGTGATTATCAGGGTATTTTGGGGAACACATAAAATATAAATCCTGGTTTTAATGTCATGATTTCTTTTATTTTAAAGATGAAAACACGCCAGGGAACTGAATTATTAATTCAATCAGACAATGACATATCTATTATGGAATGGTTTAGAGTTCTTGAATATGCTATCAGTAACCAGGTAAATTCTTTTAATGTAAACATTTTTTCATCCAGAATTATAGCCTAATGTAAAACATTATTTTAAACCAGAATAATACAACTGAATCACCCTCTGCTCTTGAACATTCAAAGAGGAAAAAGGTGAGATGCTTTTATGCATGGTAAATGAAGACTATACTCATTTTGAATAAATACATACATTGGGGTTGGTCATGGGTGTTCAATTATGATTTAGCTAAAACCAAAAAGCAATATATATATTTAGAAAAACCTTTATTTAAGATCCAAATGAATATTACAAAGCATTTACATTATATTGGTTTTATTTGGAATGCTTTTTGCTAGATTAATTGAATGATGGTCGAAGAATTAGGAGCAGAGAGTTGCTAGCTCTTCGAAAAGGATTGAAGACCTGTGTAGGTGTGAACTTTTTGATAGATGAGAGTTAGGGCCAGAGTACTCATTATATGCAAATGATTGAAATATAGAAGAAGTGAAATGACCTCTACTATACTATGAAAGGCCTGAAAAATTGTATTTTGCTTCTGTTATATGGTATGTGATATTACAAGACATAAGGTGTTGGGCAAGCTCCTTTAACAACAAAGTCATGCATGGCTGCAGTGAGCTTGTTAAATTTGGAAGGATTTATTTTATGTAGCTTATTAGTCTTTTATTCTTCTATAATTTTATTTTATTTTTGCCTATGGAATCAAGGAAAATAAAGATTGAACTAAAAAAGATCTGAAAGAAATCTTAAATTATATGGACAGATAATGTTAATTATATTATCATTAACTCAGTGTTGACTCTTGGCAGCAACATTGATTATTTTTCTCAGATCTCTGTTCTCAGATTGGTGACCTTTGCATTTTATAAATTGCTGTTATCAATTTTAACATCAATATACTCCGTTTCATAAAGTGATGTTCTACTTTGAAATCACGTTTGAAGAAATACACTTTATAAAACATATCTTGTAACATAATTCTGTAGGAAGACAACTTATTAATTCTTGTTGTGGAATTACACTAGACAGTAGAGTCTGAAGAAGCATTGGATGATGAAATGCCAGATTCGCCTGGATTGGAAAAACAAGACAAAGAAAAGGACCATAAAGATTCTAAAAAACTTCGTTGTAAGTTTCAATTCCATAGTTAAGTGGACATGCTTCTGGTTCATTATCACCGTAAAAAATATTTTAGCTCTTGAACACATTAAAAATTTAGACAATTTTTATTGCAGCAGTTTTAAAGGAAATATCTAAGTCTCTTTTTGGTCAGATTTTTATAGGATAAATTTCAGTCATTAACATGTGATGTAGTATTGCAGCATATCTAATCAGCCTGGGCTTGTTTCAGAAGTTCAAGTAGTATTATTTATCATCATATGCAATGAGGCTTGAAAGGAATATAATGAGATTTTTTACCCTTAATAAATATTTTCTTCCAAAAACTGAAACTGTAGAGATCAAATACCAATGCCTTCCTTTTACCCAGAGTGGGTAACATAAATTAATCATTGTTATATTTAGAAATAGGCCTTTTTCAAAGTATAAAGTCAGTTTTTACTGACTCCAATGCAACTTCTAAAGGCAAAGAACCTGAAATATTGTTGTGTATGCTCTTCCAAAATAATTATATCTGGGGAAATAAAATTAAAACAGTTCCAAAACAAAAAGTAATAAAATAAATTATAAAATCAGTTAACTGATTTTGATGAAGTCAGTGACTTCATTCTTGGAAACAGAAATAACTTTTCTGTCCTACTGAAAGCGCTCATCTTATATTTGGGGAAACGTTTTTCAAAGTGGAGTGGCCATCACTCAGAAGATTCAGGCATGGAGTCTGATGACAACACACTTTCAAAAATGGAAATATTCATTTGTTTCTCTTTCCAGTCATACTGGACAGCTGGATTCCACCTGGATGAGATCATCTTGGAGCAACCTAGACCCTTAGCCATGTAGGGCTTGAAAAATAATGTCCTTGGTTGAACCTGGAAGCTAACAACAAACAATCTGCAGCTCCCAGTGTAGCGATATCACATAAGCAAACCTAGGCATGCCACAATGCCACAAATCCTTTCCATAATGCACTTGAATCAGCTACCACTTCCAGATCTTTTGGGACAGCCTCATGTAGACTGAGTCACATATCAAGGGCATGAATGATAACCAGCAAAGTGTTTCTCATTCCAGGAACAGTGAAATTGACACGGAATATGTAAATTGTGCAGAGGCTCTTATGAGTGAGCCAGCTCTGGGTGCAGAAGCTGTGGCTCATCCAGAGAAAGAGACAGACTTTCTTCAGTATTAATCAGCTTTTAAAAGCTAGCCATGCCATCTTAATAATAGAATAGAATAGAATAGAATAGAATAGAATAGAATAGAATAGAAATAGAATTAGAATAGAATAGAATAGAATAGAATAGAATAGAATAGAATAGAATAACAGAGTTGGAAAGGACCTTGGAGGTCTTCTAAGCCAACCCCTGCTTAGGCAGGAAACCTTATAACATTTTAGACAAATGGTTATCCAACAACTTCTTAAAAACTTCTAGTGTTGGAGCATTCACAACTTCTGGAGGCAAGTTGTTCCACTGATTAATCGTTTGAACTGTCAGGAAATTTCTTCTTAGTTCTAAGTTGCTTCTCTCCTTGATTAGTTTCCACCCATTGCTTTTTGTCCTCCCTCAGGTGCTTGATTTCCTTTTCTTTGTGGAAACCCTTGAGATATTGGAACACTGATATTGTGATTCCCCTAGTCCTTCTTTTCATTAAACTAGACATTGTTCTAGTTCCTGCAACCGTTCCTTATATGTTTTAGCCTCCATTCCCCTAATCATCTTTGTTGATCTTCTCTGCACTCTTTCTAGAGTCTTCACATCTTTTTTACATCATGGTGATCAAAATTGAATGCAGTATTCCAAGTGTGGCCTTACCAAGGCATTATAAAATGGTATTAATCAAGGTCCAATGGATTACAAGGTCCAAGCATTTGCAGACGACCTTGTCTTTTTCTTAGAAAACCCATTAGAAACAACCCCCCCAAAAAATGGTATTAATATTTCAAGTGATCTTGATTCTACGCCTCTGTTTATATAGCCTAGAACTGTGTTGGCTTTTTTGGCAGCTGCTGCATACTGCTGGGTCATATTTAAATGGTTGTCCACTAGGACTCCAAGATCTTGCTAGGGTTCAGCCTAAGTCTAGTTCTTCTTAAATCCTTACAGTCTCTGGATATCAGGATGGAACTTTTTCTTCATTGCCTGATTGGCCATATGTCAATTCATAACTGGTTCATTCCTCTTCCGTCTTCACCACATGCCAATGGGAGGTCTCTCCCAGTGGTGATATATGTGTTGAATAGAGGTTGATCGTAAGTCCTTCTGACAGAATGTAAACATATCTTTTAAGATAATTGTTTTTTCTGTTTATGTAAACATTTTAGGAAGAAGGCCACATGATGCTTGAATTTTTATCCAAAGAAAACAATGGTTAATATAAATAGAAATTTTAAAAAGGTTATATAAAAGTCAAGCATGCTATTGTACTTCTGTTAATCATTATGTTGCATTTCAATATTTTCCCATAAACATCTTCCAAATGATAACACTATTTTGTCCCTGTGGAATTCATTATTAATTTGTTTTATAAATTAGAAAATATTTAGCTTAATTATTGTCAAACATTATTTGAAATGTTGTTCTTGTCTTTCAGCACTAAAAGTATCTAGCAGTATTGATTCTTCAGAACAAAAGAAGACTAAAACGAAATTGAAGAAGTTTTTAATCCGCAGACCTACCTTACAAGCAGTCCGTGAAAAGGGCTACATTAAGGGTAAGGCTTTTTAATTTGTTAATTAAGAAAATAGTGATTTGGTATGAGGAAATAGCCATTTCCTTAGGAAATGGGGGAGACATTGTGACTTCAAAGCTGCACATATTGAAGGCTTCTGCTACTGCAAGTAGCAGGAAACATAGTCACAATTTGAGTATATCTGTTAGAAGCTGATTATATATATTATATTACATAAAAGAACAAACAAGAGGCTTCTATTAAACTTAAAGAAAATCATATTTCCCATCTAAGTGTTACATTTGTCAAAGAGAAATTTAAAAAATAATAGATCTCACTATCAAGAATATTATGGTTTTTTCAATCAGTATGCAACAGTAACTAGATCTGCTATTGGAAATTATGGTAATTTGTTTCTTATAAAAAAATCAGTCATTTACATTTTTGTGGTATGGGGAAAGTTAAGAATGTTGAATTTTAAAATTTGCGGATAAAATAACATTACAAAACTAATTTTGTTGGGTCACTTATTTCCTTAATTGTCACTTTGGAAACTTTTCATTGCAGGTATCAAACTTGAACCAAATTCAAGAGTTTCGTAGATCATCCATCTACTTTCTAAATGTCTATGAAGATTCTCAATTAACCATGTCACAGTTGTCCCAAACATATATTTTTCCAAAACGCAAGCTGACTTCCTTGGTATTTTCTTTCAGAATGTTTTGCTTCTCATAGAAGAAGCTTTTTGGATGAGAAGCGAAACATATTTAAAGAAAAAAAACCAAGAAAGTACGGTTGCCTTTTGGAAAAAAATATTTTTGGGACATCTACTTTCTGGTTTTCATCAGGATAGTAAAAGGGCTTGTTTGAAAAAGAGTGGATCATTAAGATCTATTTAGAACATAAAACTGTTACAAAATTAATTCTTTAAAAATAGAATAAAAAGATCTATGTTGTTTGCTCCATTGGCATCTTTAAGTTCAGATGTTTCTGTCTACTGAAATGAACTAAAGAGCCAGAATGGAATTTCTGTCCCTCAAAATTGGATTGAGGACAGGGGTGTCAAAGTCGATTTCATTGAGGGCTGCATCAGGGTTGTGTTTGACCTTGGAGGGCCAGGGTGTATATGGCCAGGATGAGTGTGGCTAGCTTGATGTCATTCATGTCGGGGGTGCCTGTGTTGCCCGAGTGCTCTGCCAGTGAAAATGGGCTTCCAAATGTTTCCAGCTGCAACAGCCTCCTGAAACCCTCTGCCAGTGAAACAGTCTGGGTGGGTCCCATGCGGCCCTCACGAGCTCTGTTTCTGGCTGTGACAGCCTCCTGAAATCCTCTGCCAGCGAAACAGAGCCCAGGAGGGCCGTGTGCAGCCCTCCTGAGCTCCATTTTCACTAGCACTGCGGGCTGGTCCTTTGTTGTTTTCAGGGCGGCCCCAGGGACCAGATTTAAGCACCCTGCAGGCCAAATCTGGCCCACAGGCCTAGAATTTGACACCCCTGATTGAGGAGAATAATCCATAATTAAATAAATAAGTAAGCTAGCAAACATAGAGTACAGCATTAATTTTACAATATCTATTACAGCTCTTCCACATACAAATTGTACAGAAAAGTGTTTTTTGGTTATGTATGTATGTGGATGTGGATATTGGGCAGATGTGCCCTCTGAAAGGTACCCCCTCAGCACATATTTATTTGTTTGTTTGTTCAATTCCTACGGTTGCCCATCTCAGTCAGTGACTGGGCAACTTAACAATTCAAAAAATATATTGCAATTAAAAATTGAAAAACATTTTAAAACAGTAAAAGCATCTAATTCACCTCATAGTGAGATGGGTGGCAAACAAATTTAATAAATAAATAAATATACATAAGAGCAAATTATTTGATTATTTGACCAATTAGCAATATAGTCATAAAATGGGGCCCTTGATGCTTTCAGTGCCCCAGGCTCAGGAATATAGTCAGGTTTTTAGGGTCATATGAAAGGCTAACAGGGTTGGGGTCATTCTGAACCCCAAAGTGAGGGTTTTCCATGCAAGAGGGGCCACCACCAAAAAAAGGTCATCATCTGGTCTCCGCCAGCTAATTCTTTGGCTGACGAGATCTGCAGCACGGCCATTCTTCTTGACCTAGTTGGACGGGTAGAGATTTTTGAAAAAAGGCATCCCAGTCTCAAGCCAGGTAGGACTTTCTAGGTACCTCCCAGCATCTTGAATTGCACTCGGAAACACACCGGTAACCAGTGCAGTTCATGCAGGAGTGGTTGTTAGTGTGCCATATATCTGGCACCATTTACTAACCTGCGTGGCTGCATTCAGCATCAGTTGGAGTTTCTGAATGGTCTTCAAGGGCAGAGTTAACAATAGAGTGTGTTACAGTAGTCTAACCTTGAAGTTACAAGGGTGTGAATTAATGTGAGCAGGGCCTCTTGATCCAGGTACAGGCGCAACTGGTGCACCACTTGAAGGTGTGCAAAGGGCCTCCTTGCCACAGCTCCTCCTCTTTGAGCAGGAGCCGCAGGTCCAGGAGGACTCCCAGATTATGCATTGGGTCTGTTTGGGGCAGGGCAAGCCCATCCAGAACCAATGGAAGAACCTTGTCTCCAGGGTTCCAACTACCCACAGCCACTCCATCTTGCTAGTTGGAGTCCATTTTGCCCCCTCCAGTGCCCCAAAGCCTCCAAACACTGGGATATGTCATCCATGGCATCACTCAAGGAGTGTGGGGTAAAGATATGAAACCTGGTGTCACTGCATGCTCACCCCAAACCAACAGATCACCTCATGCTGTGGCCTCATGTAAATGTTAAATAGGAGGCAATAGAGAATAGAGCCCTCAGGTACTGAACAAAAGTAGGTGCTTCAGGCTAGACCTCTCTCCCTCTGTCAACGATTGGAAGCACCCTGGAGAAAGGAAGAGAACCACAAGTTCCTGGAGCTGGCCCAGAAGGAGACCATGATCAATGGAATTGAAAGCCGCTGAGGAGTCAAGAAAAGCCAGGATGGATGCACTACTCCATCCCACTCGTGCCGGAAAGGGTGTAGATAATCTGTTTCATCCAGAGTTCTGTGAAATTGCCATGTGAACACTTTACCTTCTCTGTAAAGGAAAGGTTGGAGATCAGACAAAACTGTCGAGGCTAACTGAATCGGGCAATGGTCCTTTGAGAAGGGAGTGAACCACTTCCTCTTTAAGAACTGACAGGACCACTCCCTTTCTCAAAAAAGAATGAACTATCGCCCAGATTCACATATACATTCCCTCCCGCCAGGACTTAATAAGCCAGGAGGGGGACAGATCTAACACCCATGGCCAACCTAGCAGCTGAGAGAGCCCTGTTCACTCCCTCAGGTTCATTGGGCTCAAACTCTTACAAGGTCACCTTGCAAGATGTAGCCCCCACCATCTCCATACTCTGCTCTAAGTCTGGAGTCCAGTGTAGAGCAAATGTGCCAATTTTATCTGCCAGATATGTAGCAAAGTCTTCACAGCTACCCTTTAGGTAGGTTTTGGCATTGCTCAAGGAATGATTGAGCACAGGGCCACTGGGCGACTATCGGCAGATGCAATAACTATTTCTCTGCACAAATAGTTGTTTCATCATCCTTACTGCCATGAGGTAGGCCTTCATAGCGGTGCTAGCTCATGTCTGATCATCTTCGTTCCTTTGTCTTTCACCAGCAACACTCCAGGCCAGTGGTCACCAACCAGTGATCCATGGACCACTTGTGGTCTGTGAGGAAATTTTGGTGGTCCGCAGAAAAATTATTTGCATTTTTTATATTGCACTAAATACTATTTATCTTTTAAAAAATTCATATTAGTGGTCCACGGGATTTAAAATTATGAATTTAGTGGTCCCTGAGGTCTGAAAGGTTGGTGACCTTTCAAGTCGACCTCTAGGCAACATTCTCTGGGCCTGTTCAAGTACCCTTAATTCCATCCTGTACCATGGAAAACATTGGGAAATCTGTGTACGGAAAGGTTTCCGGTGCTCTCCACAATCCAATCTAAAGCCATTGCTTCTTTGTTATTCCATGCAGTCACCAAGGCTTCAATCGGGCCACATAGCAGGATTTCCTGGAATAACTTTCAAGTTTCCTCTGGAACCCAATTGGGTCCATAAGTCACCTGGGGTGGGCTGATCCAGTAGACCCAGATTCTCTGCGGAGGAAGCTAGCACCTAAGAAATTGAGTCTCACCAGTGAGCGATCTGTCCATTGTAGGAGAGTAGGCAAAATCTCCCACAAATCCAGAACCCTGCCATTGTTCTGAGAGAGAAAAAAAACAACAACAGATCCTGATACATGCCTTGAGTCCCCAAAGGTTTTTCAATACTGACTTAGAGATTTAAAAAAATCAACTTGTAAGAGTTTATTGGATGTAATATACTTCAGTGCTAAGACTGAGATATTGTAAATGTTATATGTCCAAGTTCATGATCTTACATATAAAAATATATATCTGTATATTTCAGTTTTTATTCTGTGTACTAAGAAATTCATCTCACTCGTCTACAAATTTTTATTTTTCTGCTCTTCAGATCAGGTATTTGGCTGCAATCTAAGCAGTTTGTGTCAAAGAGAAAATAACACTGTGCCAAAATTTGTGAAGCTGTGCATTGAACATGTTGAAGAACATGGTAGGAAGAAACTACTTACTGGTTTTTAGGATTAAAAATTATTTTTGTTAACAAAAGTCTTAGCATTCACAAATGGAATATGTCCCAAGGTACAGATACGGTTGCATTTTTAAAAAAGAAAATATAGCCCCAAGTTTTCTTTTGATTGCTAGAAATCTCTTATGTAAAAAAGTTAGAAAAAAACTTTTCTAGAAAAGCTTGAAAAAGTTTGAAAACAATGTAGAACTGTTTCCACTCTATAATGATCGATCCAAAAACAAAATGCTGTTGTGCTGAGGGAAATAGACCGCTTTTGTTTTAATATTAGATCGTATAGCCCAAAGTAAATTCTCCTGACTCCCAAGAGGAGTGTGAAAGGCTTCGTTCTGTTTTTTAAAATGTTATTTAGTATAGCTTATTTTAATATTTTTTTCTAGGATTGATGTTCATTGTGTTTTCTCACTTTCTATATTGCCAGTTCTGACTGGAGATAAATGCTGCTGAAGATAAGACTATTGAAGAAGAAACTTTGAAGAAACAATATTATGTTGATTTACCCATCTGTCCTCATGTTAGGTGGCAGACATGTGAGAATGTCTGTTCCAGTCTCCTAGTTTCAGCATAGTGTGGTTTAAGAGAGACACATTTTAAGTAGAAACAGTATTCTCTCCAGATGGCAGAGGTTCTCAGGAGTGAAAGGAAAGAGAAACCTAGTTTTCTACTAGGTGTTCTCCACAAAATTCACATTCCCAGATGGACCTGAAAAGAATAGTTCTTAGATTGGTCAAATGTTTCTGTTAACCTCTAAATTACGGAATAATGGAGTTTAAAGAAATAATCTGCTTTTTAAATTGCTTGTTATACCTATAATTTTCACTTTAAATTTTTTGCTTTCCCTTTTTGCTGTTAGGAAATGGCATGCATGTATAATGTAAGATTTAATGTAAGTTGTAAGAATGTTTGCTGAACAAAAAAAATTAAATTTTTTCTAGGATTGGACATCGATGGATTGTACAGAGTTAGTGGTAATCTTGCAGTAATACAGAAGCTAAGATTCGCAGTTAATCATGGTAAGTTCTTATACATAAAATTTATTTGCAATTAAGCTACTTTATAAATGCTTATCATAAGAGGTTTGAACAGATTATATTTTTAATATGACATAGAAGTCTATATCTTTTGCAATTAGTTATTGATATAGTTGTTAGAATTGCCTTTTTATCTGAATATTCTTCTATGCGTATAAACAACAGTAGCAAAAGTTTATTATGATATAGCTAGTGGTTTTGTATTTGTTTCTTTCAGATGAAAAACTGGACTTGAATGACAGCAAATGGGAAGATATCCACGTCATCACAGGGGCTTTGAAAATGTTTTTTAGAGAACTGCCAGAACCATTATTCACTTTCAGCCATTTCAATGATTTTGTCAATGCCATTAGTAAGTATTTCTTCGAAAATCTGCTCATCCTAAAAGAATTTCACAGTAATTCACAAGTGTCCTCATTGCATGCAAGACTGTTATCAAAATTAAAAATAAAGTTTTTAGTAGTCACTAGTTTTCCTTATGTAGGAAAGCAATTATCAACTGTAATTTCATAGTGAGATAAAGTTATGAAATTCTATTAAATAGAATTACAACCAAATACTTACTAGATGGAAAAAAGGAGATTAATGTCCATGTTATTGTATTGTATATATTAACCCAATAAAATGGATTATGCCTCGTTTTATTTTACCAGCCTTCTGGATGCTGTAGAACCCTTTGTAGTTATACTTGCAATAGATCAACAGTGTAAGCAGTGTTCATGTCAGCCACTAGATGGTGCTAGGTATTAGCTAATGTCCTCCCAATATATGAAAAGCTGCATTGTGCCTAGAATTTGTCTCTTCTGTCTCTAGAACAAGAGCCTCGGCAACGTGTTCAAGCTGTAAAAGAGCTGATTAAACAGTTGCCAAAGCCAAATCACGATACGATGCAGGTGCTGTTCAGACACCTCAAGAAGTAAGTAAATACATAGAAAAGAAATGTAACTTAGTGTATATAAGTGTATAGCTTTTAAGACCCAGTAGAGTATAAATAAGTGTGTGATTTTGGCAAAGAACCAGCATTATGAAAGGAAAGAATATCAACGCAGTAGAATATCTTGATAAATGTCACACCATTACTCAAAAGTGAGAAATTGTGACTCTAGAAGTTGTGTTACGCAAAACTCTACAGACTGGCAACGTTAGCATCGGAACTATTTCAAGTTAGTACTAAGATCCAGGATTATGCCTTGAGGAAGATATGTACTAGCCACATATATGCACATGTCAAGAACATTTATGACTGATACTACATAATTTTGATAATAACGTGATGTTAACAGGTTTGAATAATTATTTTTCTATCTTTCTCAGAATTATAGAAAACGGAGAAAAGAATCGAATGACCTATCAAAGTATAGCCATAGTCTTTGGCCCAACTTTATTAAAACCTGAGAAAGAGACTGGTAATATAGCAGTTCACACAGTGTATCAGAACCAGATTGTAGAATTAATCCTACTGGAATTGAACTCAGTCTTTGGACGTTGAATTTGTTAAGCCTGACTGGCCTTTGAAGGACAAAAACTCGGCTCTGACAGAAACAGCATCTCAATATATATATTATGTCTTTGTGGACCAAGCAGCCACTTGATGGTATTGCACTTTTTTGGGGGGGGAGGGAGAAGAGTGTGATTTATTTTTGCTGGGTTTTGGAAGCTATTAACTTTGAATTTTTTTTACAATAAATGTTATGGATATTACAAAGTTTATATGATTCTAGTGACACTTAAACTGAAGATTTTATATAGATGTACACACTGGATTTTTTTGGGTGGAAGAAGCTAATTTCAGTCAGGATTATCTAGAATGGCATTTTAATCTTTATTTTTAAATACAGGTTGTCCTCAATTTATAACCATTATTTAATGATCACTCAAATTTATAATAGTGCTGGGAAAGGTGACTTACGACCGTCTCTAGCAGTTATGACTGTTTTAATGTCCCCACAGTCACATGATCATGGTATATATACTTGGCAACCAGCAATTGCAGTGTCCCAGGATCACATGATCACCATTTACAACCCTCCAAAAAGCAAAGCCAATGAGGGAAGCTGGATTTGCTTGACAACTGTGTGATAAATTTAACAACTATGGCAAACAGTTAAAAAATTGAGCATGGTCACATAAACACATTGCTTATTGACAGAGGTTCTGTACCAATGATGGTCATAAATCAAAAATTCTGTAACCTTAGACTTACCACTTGCTTTGGAGAAAATAAACTCTTTATCAACTGACTTTGAAGAACTTAGTGAGCTATTTTTAGTGAATCAATGCAGTGCAAGCTCCCAAATTAAAATGGACAAGAGAATTCCCGTTATTCATTTACAGATTTCTGCATTAATTTGACAGATTAAACAAGTGCTAAGTGGTCAATGTAAATTCCTTCACTACATCAATTGATATTGTTGGGCTTGCTCAGATTTTAGCTGGCTTTTTTTTTTTAAAACCACATACTATTGCTTCAGACACTGAATTGGTGCATATAACCAGTGGAGGATATATCTGTGACGAGCTGGAGTGCTCAGCATTTTTTAAAGATGTACATATATATAGATATATATATATGTTATTTGAGATTAAATCATATTTAGCAAATCTAACTGGAGGTTGATATTGTAGTGAATTCTTGTATGAATCTGTGGTAGTGAAATCAGTTATAAATACACACTGAAGTCCTAACTGGGTGTTTTATTTTTTTATTATTATGTGTATACACTGTTGTATACTTTCTACTCCTACACTTTGAATGTGTAGATTAATAACTGGTATTTTGATGTACCTCCAATGGATATTCTGTTCCTACAGAAAAATGGGTTACTTGGAAAACTGTGTGCACTTTTTAAATGCTAACATCTGCACGCCAATAATTCTAATGCAAATGGTACTGGAAAAATACTGCTTGCTTTACATGGTTAATGCACTACAAGCAAAACCTCTGATGTTATTTAATATGTACAGGAGCTATATTAGATAAATATATTGCAAATTCTAACATCTATATATTGCAGAAACTTATATTTGAATAGATGGATGTCTGGATGTAATGAAAATGCTGAACTTAAGGATTCCTTTTGATTTTAATGATGTAGATTGATTTGTAAAATAATTTCAGAAGATTTTGTTACAGGATACATGGTCTGCAGAAGATTTTTTTTAAATTGTATTTTTCTAGACTAACTGCTATATCTGACATTTGCTACGTGGAAATGAAATAAAACTGTTAGTTGTTTGGAATGTGGTGCTTCAGATTTGAAATGCAAGTTGTGCCATATTGAAACTTTAAATACAAACCAACCAATCATTTATTGGTTGCTGGTTTTATAATGCATCAATTACCTTTGATTTACAAGGACTCAATGAATTCATTGTTGGCAAACAGTCCTGATGGCCAGAAAAGAAGTGGAAGGGACTTATTGAATAATAATTCTCTCTACAGGATTGATGGGACAATTGTCCTCACCATTTTATTTGATTAATTTAACAACATTAAGGCATTTTTAAAAGCATTATTATTAGCATATTTCTTGAGAAGAAAAACTCTGAAATATTGACCTCAATCTAGAAAAGGCCCAATTCTATTATTGATCATAGAGGTTTTTGTGGAAGAAACATTATGCAGGACAGATGCCTATTAAGGCATCTGGAAACAATGTGTGTACTTCCTGAGAATGAAACTATATAATATGCTCCTTTACTAGTTTCAGTCATAAAGATGATCATAGAATTTATTTTCTTCCTGTATCTGTCTTTCAGAACATTCTCCTGACCAGAAATAGTAGTTTATTGGATAAAACTTTGTTTATTTTCTGTATTCTGATTTATCTTATGTAACTGGTTATAAAACTAAAAAAAAGTATTGCTGGGAAAAAAACACTGATGGAAGATTAGCTGCCATCCCAGTTAGCTTAGAAAATTATCATTAGAATAAATTAAAGACTATTTCTTTGTATCAAATATCAAAATTGCTAGAACATGCTGCAGCTTTGCTTCTTCTTTCTTAGACAGATATTGAGAACATTTAACATAGTTTTCAAGCAGACTTTGTGATAAATGGCTTTTGCAAATATAATTCTGGAAGCTAATCACTCAACATATATTCTTATAATTCCTCTCCAAATAAATTGTTAATAGCTAGAAATTTTCTTAAGTCATGTAGCTGAAACACTCTATAATAGATATTAGCTCAACTTTTAAAGGTGCATCTTGGTTTGGCAAGATAAACAAGGATCACCTTCATAAACTTATTCAAGCATCCTGTAAATATTCTGAACTGCATTAATTGGAATATGTCTCAAAACAGGTGCGGTAAATATTCGTAGTTTTGAATCTGTTTCAATAATATATATAAAACAGCCTATCTCCAAAGATAATGAAGATTTGGTTAAATCACATTTATGTTACAAAGAAGATTGACCAATTTATTGTTGTCATTTCGAAATGATGTTGTGTAATGAGAAAGTATTCTGCCTTTTGCAGTTGACTATATTTGCCTTGCTAGATGGCTAATGAATTAATTGGCTTTGATATATGATAGTGTTATTTCCATGACTGTTGTTTCCTAAATCTCTTACTGTGGATTAAACATTCTTTAAGTTTTGTGCCAGAAATAAACTGTTATTTAAATATTTCTATTTGATTGTTTAAAATTACATAAATAAAAATTAATAATTAGTGAAAATTGGAAAAAAATATATGTCCCAAACTGAATTATGAACTTTTGGCATAAATTAACATTTTAAAGAATCTGGAGCCAACATAATGCTGCAAAATTAACATATCAAAGCCATTGGCTGTAATACATCAGTATGTATTTACCAGAAGTGTGCCTGTGTTTCAGAACAAATAAGTTGTGCTAATTCAGGATTTGCTTTGTTGGAAATGGTTTGTGTTTTCCCTGGGATGCAGGGAGACACTTAATTAGTGGCATTCAAGTTATCTTGTACTTTTAAATTAAGAAACTGTGGATTACTGTGAAATGAGTTTTACTCATTACTGGCAATGAGTTTGATGCTCTTTTTGACACAAATAAACATTTAACTCTCAGTCTATGTTTGCGTTGTCTAAAACAGTCACTTGAAATACATAACCAGCTCTTGACATTTCTTTGTTCTCCAACCACCTGTAGCACAGGAAAATTTTATTCAATTTCTCTTTCTGGTATTGGAGCTGTGTGTGGGGTCCCTGTTGACTTTTAAGGATGGAAGCAGGTGAGCAACAAAACGACTTCATTCAGATTTGATTCAGTTTCCCACAGCCATCTTTTAGTCGTCATAGGCAAAGTGAAACATGATTAGCAGTAAATAATTTCTCTAAGAATAGCTGCATCTCAGCCAGAAAAGAGCAGCAGTTGTTGGACTTGTTAATTTACCCACCATAAATGTTGGCTAGGACCAATGCATGGAGGAAGGGGCCAGTTCCTGAATGTCTAATGAGGCATAGCAAAGCCTAGCAAGGAAAGGGAGCTGCTCCAAAGAATCTTAATGAGCTCTCACAATTGCAAGACTATGTGAATGAGCAGCTGCTGAGGCTGTATTTTGCCAGATCAGTCCTTTATAAAATAGCCTGTCCTATAATGGAGCTTAAGTGAATATTTTTTACATCATGGTGTTCAATTTAGAAGGGTGTCTCATTCACTGCCCTTTTCTATCCAGCCTTCCTTTTATTAGAATTTTGATAGATTTAATTGCTTAGTGAAAGTTGGTTTTATAAAGTATTGGTGTTGACCACCAATTGCATTTTTTACCACAAACAACTTGCAGTCTTTCAAATACTGCAAAAGCAAAACATGATTGTATTCAACTAGTTCAGCTTGTAGACTGTGAGTTACCTGTAAACATGTTTTGGTGAAAAACACCCTATTCAATATAACTTCTTCCAGAATTGAAATTATTCTCTTGCTGTTCTTCAAGAAACAAGAAATGAGCATTAGGAGGACTACTTCCTAGAAAACTATACATTATACTATTTCCTTTATATAGGAAGTACATAGAATTTTAGTGCTTCTTATAAAAAGGAAGTAAATTTTAGGAAGAGCTAACAGCCATCTCTTAGTCGTCATTGGCAAAGTGGCAAACAGAAACCTTGTTAAAAGCTTTTTCCATGAAATTGTTCACAACAGTAGTTGTGAGTATTGTTGACACACTTACACAGCTATTTTGTGTGAATGCAGAGGCAGCCACTTTAGCTTTTCTTTATCCATATAAGCTATACAGACAAGGGTATGTCTGATTATACACTTACACATGCATATAACTCAAGAAATACACTTAGTACATTCTATCCAGAAAAAAAACCTTTGATAGGAATATGGAGTGAGAAATCTCTGCAACTATTCATACCTTCTTTTGGTCAAGAATGATCAGGCTTTAATCATTAGGTTTTGCAAGTTCTGAGCCCCTTTAAAGTTCTTTCTTTAGACCCAGCAGGTCTGGAAAATTACTGCCAAGGAGCTAATAAAACTTTTTGAGTAAGGAGGGGTTGCAGATAAATTTCAGCGCTTGAAGAGATCTACTTCAGTCTACCTTGAGGCACCAATATTGTTATAGATGCCCTGTTGAAAGGTTTCTATTAAGATATAAGTGTGACCTGAAATAAGATGGATGAAGATTATTCTGGCTATAACACACACACACACACACATAATACAAATAATCCCCAAATTTGGAAGATTGCCAGTTCTAGACAATTAGTACAGTACAGGTAGTTCTTGAGTGGAGCCCAAAATTTCTATTGCTAAGCAAGACATTTGTTAAGTGAATTTTGCCCCATTTTGCAACCGCAGAATGCTAAGTGAATCAGCTGCAATCACTCAGTTGCTAAGTGAATCGCTGCAATTGTTAATTTAGTAACATGACTGTTAATTGAATCTGGCTTCCCCATTGAGGCTGCTTGTCAGAAGATCACAAAAAGAAGGTCACATGCAGAACACTGCAACTACCAGAAGTACAAGACTTGCCAAGTGTCTGAATTATCACGTGACCAAGGGGATGCTATAATGGTGGCAAGTATGAAAAAGGGTTATAAATCACTTTTTTTCAGTATCATTGTAACTTCAAATAGTTATTAAATGAACTGCTGTAAGCTAAATACTACCTGTATTGGAATGTTCGGCTGATTTAAGATTCTACAAAGACAATATTTGTATAAAGAAATTATTCTGGAAGAAATTTTGAAGCATCCACAGAAAGCTCATAAATGGAAGATGTCCCTGCAGCATTTACTACTTAAAAATATGAACTTTCTTTTTAATAAAATATTGATAACAACGATGAAAGTATCATAAAATTAATATGATATTTAATAGTATTAACCCTAAATAATAGACTACAAGTGTCTAATAAAGTCTACAACCTATAATTAATTATATTGATAAAGATATTAAATTTTGAAAGCAACAATAGTTGGAAATTTGAATCAAAGACTTCAGCACATTTTACCAAATCGTTAAAAATCTTTTTCCTTGCTCTGTCAAAAAACACTTTGAGAAATTGACAAATGTATGCAAGCTATTGATTGCTGCAAATCAAGTATACATATTCTACCAATGTTCTTTTATTACTTCTTTTCTTAGATTCTCTTCTCCAATGCATTTATATGATGCATTGTCAAATGGCCAATATTGGGGCTATAGCCAAAATGGCAGAGTAAACTTTTAACTATCAGAACTGCAAAAAACAGGTGACCATCAGATGTGTCAAGGAGAAAAGACAGAATATATAGCTTAGATTTTGCTACCATCTAGTGGTCATCTAAATGTAGCTCTGAACTGCTGATATTTTTTCCCAATTTTTTTTTATTTATTAGTTTTATTGATTGTATATATAAAAACAAAGAAAAATAATGCAAAATTATAAAAGCAAAACCATACATATTAAACCAAAGCAATACAGATAGTCCTTGACTTATAACTAGTCTCTTAGCAATTATTCAAAGTTACAATGGACACCCCAAAAATATACTTAGGACCCAGCTTTAAAGTTCTCATGCCAACCTCCCACTCCAATCACCCATGGTTATACAAACGCTTTTGGGTGCTTGGTAACCAGCCAGCATTTTTGGCTGTTTGATGTGTCTCAAAGCCACATATTTACAATGGTTTGCTGGAAAGCATGTTTACTTCTAGTACCGACAAACTGTCCCACAGCAAATAATGGGTTTGCTGCTTAACCACTGCATTAGTAGTTTACAGTTTACAACCTCACATTTGCTTAATGACCACGGTAGGAAAAGGCAATAAAATCAGATCCGGACACATAATGACCTGCTTTACGACCATCACCATTTACAATCTTAATTGCGAGGCTCAGTTAAGGTTGTAACTCAAGGACTATTTGTAATAGGACAAGCCTAAACTATATGAATTCATGTTCCAACTCCTGAATTGCATACTGTATTGCAAGGCATTTTGTAATGAAACCTTACTGAACTTTCTGCTAGATGCAGATAGAGGAACTTTCAGCCTTTTTCTGTCCACTCTTAATGTCTCACAGCATTCCATCAATTTCTTATGAATTTCTATCAATGCCTTTGTCTTTGGAGATTCTCAGTCATCCAGATCATGGTTTTCCCAAAGGTGCTTTTTTCAAGTTTTTCTAGTTTTTCTTTAAAGATGTTTTGCTTTTCATCTAAGAAGCTTCTTCAGCTCTTACTCAACATTATATGAAACCCTGTGATTGCATGGAAAAATGATATAAAACCCATGCTTTAATATATTTATTAAATTGAAAGGTAAAGTTGGTTTAATTGTTTTGCTATTCTTGGAGGTTAAAAAAATATCCTAAGAGCAATAAGATGCATTCCACTTTGGCATCATGGCACGCACGTGTTAGTCCGGATGAAGTAAAGTGGCTGTTTTACTGTGATATTTGGACATTAGTTTCATAAAAGCACTTCAAAAGGTTATTTTGGCCGAAGTTTAGTCAAAGGGAAGTGACCTTCTGAAGCTCCTCTACCCTTCCTGCTCAAAAACTTGTTTTTGAGGGAAGCAATCCACATTGCTTAACTTCACAGACCATAAGATTAACGAAGAGACGCATCTACACAGTGCAATTCTATGTAAATTCTATTCACAGGTAATCCCTCTGAGTTCAATTCCAAGGTAAAGGTAACAGTATTATTGGCTAAATAGATTGGGACATTTCAAGTTCCGTGATTGCTGAAGGAAAATGCAAAACTCTTTCATTAATATGCATCGATTTTAATATGCCTCCTGTTTATTTCCTCCAATTTTTGTCATTCAAATGCAATTATTTAAATTATGTATGTGCATGAAGAAGCATAGAGAGAAAGCAGAAAGAGGAAATTAGAGTTGTTCCTTTATGGAGCCAACATTTAAAAAAAACCCTGTGCCATATAATATTAATATTTTTTAAAAACTTTGGTGACTCAATTGAATTCAACCAATACTTTGGAAACTGGATTTCATACTCCATTGTATATTCGGATTTAAAGTTGCTTTCCTCAGGACTTTGATATGGTTTTCGAATCTCTCTTCATCTCTTGTTTTTGTTTCAAAAGCTCTTGTTACGTTGCCAGTCATTCCTTCCCCCTTTTTGGTAATACAGATTTTTCTTCCTCTCGTCTCCCTCCCACCTGCTCCTTTCCTGCACTGAAAGTCAGTGTGACTGGAGATTGTTTGCTTCCTTATTTGTACAATGTTGTTCATGGAGAATGTCAGGAGGAATGTGCTTTGCCTGGCAGGGACTCTGAGTTGGCCACTTTGCCTATAGACAACATAAAAAAAAAAAGAGCGTAACCAAGTTCTGCATTTGCCTCCTAATGAGTCTGGATTGAAAACGAGAAACACAATTTAATCAAATGTACTTGGAGACAGGATAATTCTTCCTTCCTGCTTTATGGCTCATAAAATTATACATGAACATCTTTCACAAATGGTGCAAATGCATGCATGTTTATTCAGATTTATCCTTACTTTCCTGACTGGAGTTTACTTTCAGGTAAAATAAACCAACCTACAACAAGAGACTAAAGTCAGTTCTTATTTTAATTGGGGGACAACCAAGACAAATCATTTAATATTAGCT